CAGGCTCCAGGCTCTGAGTTGTCAGCACAGAGCCTGACGCAGGGCTCGAACCCACAAACCACGAGATGATGACCTGAGCTGAAGTCTGACGCTCAATTGACTGAGCCACCCAGGTGCCCCTCGTTTTGTCTTTTTAAACTCCACAGATAGGCAGGTATGAGGATGCCTATTTTACATAAGAATAAACTGACATTCGGAAAGGTTACATATAACTCCGCAGGGTCACAAAGATTGGCCAGTGCCAGAGTCAATGCAAGTCCAAATAATAATAGTAATAACCAGGTATTTCATTAGAAAAGTCTAAAATACTCTGGAGAACAAACCGCTTTCAACTCCTTCAGCATCTGGCTTTCTGGCGACCTAGACTCTGAGAGGAGCTTCAGCTTCCGGTTTTTGACCAAGTAAAGCATCTATCCCGTAGGAATATTAAGGCATCCATTAACTTTTTCCCTCCCCATTATCCCGTCTGTCCCTGAAGACAAGCTGGGTGTTTGGCAAGTGCAAGATAGTAAATTATTGCTCCCACAGTGCCAATCTGTAGATAAGGGAATAATTAATGCATTCCTCAAAGCAGATAGATTTCAGAGGAATTTAAATCCTGCTCCGGGGGCAGCATCAGTTTGTGCTGGAGGCTGGTGAACTGGACTTTGTAAATTCTGACCTGATTCTTTTCCTGCCCTGTTTTCTTCCTCCCTTCCTCCTCGCTCCAGTTCGCCCGTTTGCTTCAACTTTTCTTCCCCTTATTAAGACTGCTGCGTAGAAAACGCCAGGAGGCTAGGGACGGTACAGAACGTGGGGAGTGAAGAAGGGGGAAAAAACATTACGAAAAGGAAATGCTCTGTCCTCTGAATGGGCAGCGCGCTGGTCTGCGCGTTGTAACGATTGCTCCTCGGCCTTGTGGTTCACGGGCGAGCAGAGCAACACAGTAGGGATCTGTTTACATCCACCCTCTCACTCTCGAGGGCTGCGGGTTCCTCAAAGGCCGGCCTCCAGGTCGATTCCCTGGGATGTTTCCAGGGCTCGGCGCGGTGCCTGGCGCCCGGCAGCTGTCCCTAGACGTCGGGTGGGTGAAGGAAAGGTGGGCAGGAAAGGGAAGGCCAGCGGGAGTGCAGGGCGAGCCTGGAGGAGGAGGGGGAGGAGAACGGGGCTGTGCGGAACCCACGGGGGAGAATCCGAAAGTAGGAGTGCGATGGAGAGGGAGATGGAAAAGGGGACGTCCCAACGGCTGAAACTGGGACGGAGGGACGGGGTCAGGGAGGGCCCGCGTTGGGGCCACCGGAGCGAAGCGGGGCGGGCCGAGAGGGTGAGGGCGAGACAAAGAGCGGCGGGCGAGGCCGGCCGTGGGAAGGGACGGGAAGAAGCGGCCGCCGAGCCGGGGGGCGCGGGGCTGG